ATTTTCTCACTAGGAGGGTAGTAAAACGCTGGAACAGGTTACCGAGAGAGGTGGTAGAAGTTCCATCCTTGGATGTTTTCAAAACTAAGCTAAACAAAGCTTTGGTTGGGGAGATCTATCTACATTAAAGTGGTAGAACATTTGTTTAGCAAAACTACTGTAAAAATAAATGGGCACTTTAAACAAATGATGATACAATGGAAATAGAATTCTGAGCAGCAGTGTAACAGTGCAGCTGGACACCCAAGGCACTGCCACACATGGGGCAGCAACAACCTACAGCTGACAATGGTGCAATCATGTGGCTGCAGTATCAGTCATTTTTTTTCCACACCACCCCTTACTGGATACCCAGGGCAGGTGCCCAAGTCACGCTATCCTAGTTAGCCACTACTTCTGACACTGGTAAGTTCATATATTGCAAGGCTGGAAGGGACCTCGGAAGATGATCAGGTCCAGCCCCCTGCACCAGGAAGGAAAGGCAATTGGGGTCAGGTGACCCCAGCAAAGTGACTTTCCAGTCTCTTCTTGAAGATTGCCAGGGTAGGTGATTGCACCACCTCTGAAGGGAGCCTATTCCACAGTCTGGACACCCTGGCTGTGAAGAAGTTTTTCCTAATCTTGAGCCTGAAATGGTCTTCTGGAAGTTTACGGCCATTACTCCTAATTATCCCTAAGGGCACCCTGGTGAACAGTTGTTCACCAAACCTTTGATGTACGCCCCAATGTAGTGGTAAGCCACTATCAAGTCCCCTCTCAGCCTTCTCTTTTTCAGGCTGAAGAGTTCCAGGTCCCTCAGCCTTTCCTTGTATGGTTTGCTGTGGAAGTCTCTGATCATACGGTTGGCCCTTCTCAGGATTCTTGAGCATTACCACATCCTTGTTGAAATGAGACACCCAGTACTGGATGCAGTACTCCAGCTGTGGGCTCACCAATGCTGAATAGAGTCAAAGAATCACTTCCCTAGTTTTGCTGGAGATGCATCGATTGATGCATACCAGGGTATTATTTGTCCTGTTGGCTACAGCATTACACTGCCAGCTCATATTCATACTGTGGTCTACTATTACTCCCAGGTCCTTTTCATTCATGGTACTGGTGAGTTTGGTGTTGCCAAGCCTGAGGGTGTGTAGGGGGAGGGTTATCCCCAGATGGAGCACTTTACATTTCTTGATGTTGAACTTCATTTGATTCCAACCTGCTCAACTTGCTAGCCTGTTTAGGTCCGCCTGTATCTGCAGCCTATCTTCAGGCATGACCACGCTTCCCCATAACGTGGTGTCATCCATGAATTTGGCCAGTGAGCTCTTCACCCCTGTATCCAAATCATTGATAAAGATGTTGAAAAGCACTGGACAAAGCACCAACCCCTGAGGGACATCACTAGCCACTTCTCGCCAAGACAACACAGATCTGTTCATTAGAATTCTCTGGGTCCTACCCCACAGCCAGCTTCCTACCCACCTAACTGTCCACAGTCCTCCAATTTACTCACAAGAACATCATGGGATACAAGATCAAAGGACTTTTGGAAGTCAAGGTATACAATGTCAACCTTCTCTTCCTTATGCAGATGGCGAGTTACCTGATCATAAAAGGAGATAAGGTTGGTAAGACAAGACCTGCCAGCAACAAAGCCATGCTAGCTGTCATTCAGAATACTACTGTGATGGCTGTACATGTTGTAGGTCTTGCTACCACTGCCCTGAGTTCATCTGCCTACAGGCAGTGACAGGGTGGACCTCAGCTTTGGATCACCTGGTTTGCCAGGAAGTTAAGTTAACATAAGACATGTTTTCTCATCTGCCACGACTTTTTCCCAGGAGGCACTGCCCACAGTGATCCTGCCTGGTCTTGATCCCTGTTTCTTCTGTTGGGCTCCAAACCTCCCCTTTACCCCAACCTAGACTCTCCAGATGGTACTCACAAAATCCTTCTGCAGCCAGGTCACAATGCTACCTGTTGTGGTATTGTTTGGCCCTCTATCCCCAGGGTGACCTTTGGCCTCAATTAGGTACACCCATCCAGGGCTGATCTTGGCCTGTGCTCAAATATCGAAAAGAAAAGGCAAAAAAACCCAAAGAAAACCCCGGCTGCTCTCAGCCTCCTTGTCGGGCTCAGTCTATGTCCCCTTTTATCTGGGATCAGGTTCGCAAAATCCCAATCACAATGATCAAGAAATCACTTAGTCCAGTCATTGTTATGCTGTTGTGCATTGTTGTGCCTACCCTGCACCCCTATGAACATTCACCGTCTCCTTGGGGTCTCCCTCACGTGCAGGAAGCCTCTACCTGTAACTGCAGTTTCCTCAGGCCCCTCCTCCAGATCCTCTGTTGAAACTCCACCCCGGAGATCACAGGTCTTGTGGATTCCCTCTCTCTGGATCCTCAGCTGTGGTTTCACTCTGGAGATTATCACCAGCCGTGTGTGTGCAGGCCTTCCCCTGCCTCCTGCTCAGGGTCACTCCCACAGTGTTCCTCTGGCATATTCTGCAGCCCTTGCCTGCTGAGACGCTCAGCCACTCCTCTCTCCCTGCAGCCTGCAGGGAACTGACTGCTCTCTGCCCCTCTCCGGAGCCAGAAATACCTTTGGGCAGCCTCCCTCCTCCAATCCTGAGTGAGATGCTGCTCCAGAAGTGTGGTGGGTACTTTCCTTCCATTCCAGTCTCCAGCTGCAGCCCAGCCAGCGCTCCATGCTGTGAGTTTTGCTTTTTTTACTCTCTCCATCTGTTGCTGTAGGCTGCTTTCCTTCTCCTGACCTCCCCTGCCCAGCATGTAAGACACCTCGGGGCTTCTGTTCACTTCCTTTCACTCCTTCACACCTACCTTCTGCAAGCCTAGCACATATAGGCTCCTTGATGAATTTTTCCAGGATCTTCCCTGGGATAGAAGTTAGGCTGATTGGCCTATAGTTACCCGGGTCGTCCCTCTTCCCTTTCTTGCAGATGGGCACAACACTGGCCCTCTTCCAGTCCTCGGGGATCTCTCCAGAGTGCCACGAATTTTGGAAAAGTTTCCCCAGCGGTCCCTCTGAAGTTGTTTCTTCTTTTCATCGAATTCAAGAGGTAAGCACCAATGTTAAGGTAGCAAGGTTAATAGAACAATGGAGACAATAATTGGAGCAATTGTTTTGTTGTCTTGTCACTGTATCAGAAAATTAAAACTGGAAACTAGATATTTAAAATTTACTAATAGTGAGAAAATATTGATTTTTTTTCCTTCCAGATTACATTAAAATATTAGGAAAGATAAACTTTAGAATTTTCTGGAAACTTGAACTAGCAAAAGGAAAGCAATCATGCCCACCTTGAAGGTTCAGTGATAGTTTGAAAAAAGCCTCTTCCCTACTTATGCTGCTAATCAAATCATTAGAAATCTATTTAGTAATTCCTGACAACATATAAATAAATTCATGCTGCTAGGGTTTCTCCCTACAAAATCACAAACTGGAGTTTACTTTTCTTTTAAATGCTATATCAACTGTATCACGAGACAAATTTGTTACAGATGGGGTCATTAACTGTCTGTCCTGAGATCAAATTCCTTATTGGTGCTATAAACCAAGGACCATCAGATCTGGCTTGTGTGTATATGTTTAAAACATGTGAGACAAACATGATTAAGGATTTCCATGAATTACAAGCATTTTTTTAAAGCCAATCCTCCATTCTTTTTGCCCACTTACAATCTCTTAACTGAACATTTGTTGCCTAGAGGCAAATAATTTTGGAGGTTATATCTTTTATTGGACCAACGATATAGGTGGGATAAAGTTAGACAAGCTTTCAGATGCAAGGCCGTGCACTCAAAGCTGCTCTAACTTTAACCCAGCTACACTATTGGAGCAATAAAAAGTATCGCCCAAAAATTCCT